TCATAATTTCGTTTTGATAGGGTAAGCTGCCTTCACGGATGAAATGTCTGGTTTGCAGTTCAAACTTACACAGAGGGTTCAAATGTTTTTCCATGCTGTATGGCATAGACCTAACCAGTGATGAGTGTGATTCTGACATATGTTGAAATAGAGAAGCCCGATGTGATGTGGTCTTAAAAATATTTTTGTTGATAGCTTCATATCTGTGTTGACTTTGTTGTCGTTGTTGTTTTTCATGGATCTAAGATTTGATGTGATGACCATTGCATAGCTCAAGGATTATCACTGAGGTAAAAACTGAGCCACCACCTGGCCCAGTCAGAGCGTTGTGTCCAGCCTTGACCTACACTAGGTGGCTATGTGATGAAACATTTACTTGAAACTGAACATCTGTGAAATGTGATAACTCTGTTTCACTGTGAAGCGCAAGCATTTCTATCAGCCAACATCACATTAACCAACCGCCTTCTGAGATTGTAAAACTTATTTTGAGTGTTGTTGTTTTTTTTGTTTTTTTTTAAAATAAAACCTGACATCTGAATGTTATATGTTAGCTTAACAAGGGAAGTTGACACCTACTTTGGACAACATCCGCACAAACTTGCAACTATGAAAGCTGTATGATAATCTCAGCTATGGGGCACATACATTTGTAGTTCCTTGATGTAAGTGAAGGAAGCTAAAAGTCTTAACAACACATATTTGTTTTATTTTCATGGAAATATAAATTTTTTAAATATCTTTAAAATAATAAAAGTGTAATTGATTTTTGCAATTAATGTCTGTCTATTATCAAACATCAGGTGGGACAAGTAAGAGAGCTGAAGCGCAAGTCAAAAGCATTTTATGCCCAAAAAAATTATCACCGGTAATGAAAGTTGTTTTTTCAATAGTATAATGCTGTGTGCCATGGTCGCCCCAGTGTTCTATACAACCAGAAGAAGCCTGCCTCGGCACATCTCTGCTATAAATCTTTATATTTCTACACATTTCAATGGTAAACTGTATTGTACAAAATATTTCTACTTGGATTGCTTTTAACTGGTACATTTCAAAATTTTAATTTGGTCAATAAATAAAACTGGAAGAAAAAAAAAGAAAACATTGTAAATGTTTGTTGTTGACCTTTTATTGACTGTATATTAATCAAGAATGTCCAATATCTAGGAAGTTAAAACATAAATAAATTAATTTTTTTTGTAAATTCCAAATTTAAAAAGGGTAATTTTGGCTTCTACTAATGAGAACAGCTTAGATGAGTGCAGTTGACTAATTAGATGAGTGCAGTTGACTAATTAGATGAGTGTATTTGACTAATTAGATGAGTGTAATTGACTAAGTTCATATTGATTTCATGTTTCCAAATGTTGTTCAAACTAAAGTACAACCCAATACATTTTGATAAAATGTCCTATGATTTAAAAAAACAAACAAGTGTTATAAAGAGGCTGCTCTGTTGTAAATTATCTAGTTAATTTGTATTCATGGTAGGTAAATACCTCGCATACCATTGAACAGAGATGGGAATTTACCTATTTTCAAAGGAATTGCTAGATTTTCTCTGAACAAAACTGGCATTAATTTAACTCGCCAAAAATATAAAATCCTTTTTATTTTAAAATTAGTTTATTCCAATCTCTGCTTGAGTTCAACATTGAAACCCACCACCTCAGTACAGTTGAGTAGCTGGTAGGTAAGTTGGGGGGGTCAGATGACACCAGTAAGAACTTCAAATGGCCTTTAGCGAGGGCCACATGTAATAAATATCTTAGATTGGCGTAGTAAAACATAAAGCTCCCTCACTAGTTTCCCTTAGCCTAATAAACCAGATACCCCACTGGCCTACCAGGTGGTCTAGTTGATATAGCTTTGTTGACAGTATCCGTGTGTTTCAATATTTGCTGAAATCAATCTAAACACCCCTGTTCATGCTGGCTGTTGATCATGTTATTTTTTCAGCTTCAAATGTCAGCATTCTTTTCCCTGTTTGCTTTAATATGAATAACTTTGTGTATAAAAATTGTATCTTGCCTCAAGGCAAGGCAGCTAAAGAAGGCTGACCGTTTGGCCACCATATCATTATGTGAGGTCATGAATGACGCCTTCTCGTTGCTGCCGATTAGCTCCACCCTATGGTGTCATTGATTTTTCTATTGCCATTTTAAAATGTTTTCAATGCTTCTTTTTTACAACAAATTATATATTTAATATAGTCAAAGATATTTATATAAATATAATATATATATACATTTTATTTATAATCAACTAGCTTTATACAATAAATTACTAATACTTGCACAAAGCTGATCAGCCTCAATGAAACTGTGAAGCTTTATGTCCTCATCACTGTGCATTTTGAGCAACTCATGAAGCTGTTTCCCCTGTCCATTTAACTTCTCCATCCTGCTTACGTCGTTAGTTTATCAAGGGCTTTTAGAAATTAGCAATGAGCGAAAAAGGCACCCTATTTTTTTTATTTTTATTTTTCCTTTCAGCTGATAGAGAGTGGGTGGGGGTGGTGGTGTGGTGTTGAGTTGGGTGGGTTGCCTCCCTGTCAAATGGGACAGCTTGATTGTTGTGGGCTCTCAAACTTTAGTTGTTTCTTGTTTTTATCTGGGGGCTGTGCCGCAGTGGTCATTCAGGCTTGAGATTGCATATTATCATTTGATGCTTAAATTAAAACAAAATCACACAAGAATTAATTTACACATGCTGAAGTTAAGGTTACATTTTTTTTTCTTTCTTATTAGCAATAGTCATTTTAAGTATCAGAAGTAAATTAAAAGAAACACTAGCTCTTTCCAAAGATGTGACCACCCATTGCAGTGGAGGAAATAATGACATGGGGATGAGGCGGATGTTCAATTTCTATGCACAGTGATAGGGGGGTGGAACTTAGTTGAATTGTTGAATAACCTCTTGATTGAAAATTGTTGTTTTATTTACAATCATGCTGTTTAGCCATCATCATCATACTGTTGCGCTATAATTATGCATTCATCCGTCATGGCACCCACAAATATTTATTTTTTCAATGAAGAAAGTTAACGAATATGATTAATGACTTATCTTCCTGCAATATTGTCCAACTGATTTTGTTTCTCCTGCCCAATGTATCCCAGACTGTATTTGCCATGTAAATATACATCATCTATCCAACATATGCTGTAAGCAGGCATTAATTCTATCCTTTGTTGTATTTTTTCTTTTGCTTCTTGGTATTAGCAAATCCTATCTGCTTTTAAACTAATATTGTATTTTGTTGGGTTGTTTGTTTAAAGCATTCCCCTCCCCCCCTTTATAGTTTTTCCCCCACACTCTATTATATGTTTGAACTCATGAAAGAATATTTTTTACGTGGATAATATCAAGAACAGTTGGGGTTGTCGTTTTTTTTTTTTATATCATTAGTTCTCACCTGGGAGCAATATGAATACTAAAATGTAGACCATTAGTGAATAACATGTTGATTGCCTTGGATTTTTTTTTTTTTTTTTTTTTTTTTTTTTTTTTTTTTTTTTTTTTTTTTTTTTTTTTTTTTTTTTTTTTAGCTTTTCTTTTTTTGTCAAACATGTCTTATCTAGGCTTATTGAATAGTTAGGGGTGTTTTTTTTCTTTATTCTTGCAGACCCTTGTCTTAGTGTTTAAGACTAATTCAATTTCAATCCAGCTCACTGAAAAATTATTTTTAAATTTAAAAGAAATTCCAGTTTCAACCGCGTAGTAACTACCGTAAGCAAAAGAGTCCAATAAAATGGGTGTGCAAAACTCACAGATGAGGTATCAAAAACTCTTGCAATTTTCAAATATGTTTCATCTCATTTCAATGTTGTTGTTTTTTTAAACAAATGCAGATTTAGCATTTCTTCATTCTAGTCACGGCTCTAGTGTGCATATTGAAAAAGTATAATCAATAATATTAAACAAATGATTCTCACAAGTTGCTGTTTTTTTTAGTATTAGGTGCAATAATTTGAGGGTAAAAGCTTTTTTTAAGCCTAAAGGTTTTTTTTACAGTTTTGTTTTGGTAATTAAATCTAGTCTTGAAATATGGTACACGTGTATTTACACAGAAGCATTAACCTTATTTCCTTGCTTCCATTAACATTTCTTTTTACGTTGCTTACAAGTGTTTTCATATGTAAATACGCTTTTGTTCCATAATATTTGATACAGATGGATCTTAAGGTGTCAGTGTGTTATGGCACTATCACAATGAAGAAAAGGACATTTCACATGATTTTCAGAAGCTACTTATGGTTACTTACAGAAGTTACGGTGTAAGTATGGTGACTCGCAGAACAGATATTTTAAAAGTTCTCTGCTGCCGTAAAATGCTGTCCGCATGAACAGTCTACTATGACATAGTTTCCATGGCTGGGCAGGTCACACTTTTATTCCTGCAAACGCATCTGTGTTGTTCATTCACCATAATATTTTATTTTACACCCCACAGCCCTAAAGAAAAAAACCTTTTTGTTTGTTACCCATCTTTTGAATAAAAAGTTGTAAAACTGGTTTGCTTTTCACTTCTTTGTTTCTGTAACTGTGCTTGCTGGCAGTGCCTCATAATTAATTGACACTTATTTCCAGAGAAAAGTTACATTTTTAAAAAAAACAGATTTTTTCATCGAACAACCTATTCCATGAATCCCAAGAAAGTAAAAGCCAATTTTTATTATTTTTTTTTTTAAATTTGTTTTGTGGATGAATTTAAGTTAAGCATTTCATTATTTCTGCATTGCTAGCCCAAAAAATTGCATCAAGTTTCCTTAGGTTGTAAACTTACCATATAAACAGTTTATATGAATGAGATCAGGTAAGTCAGGGGAAAGCCTTTTTAGAAACAAATAACCCTTCTGAAATGAAAATCCTTCTGATATGAAAAATTTGCAATACCGAAATAAGATATTACAAAGGCTTTTTTAATTGTCAAACAAAAATGAAGGAAGACAACAAATCTATTACATGTGTTTATCTAGCTTCCTTTGGGGGGAACTAATGTGACATGAGACACAGCGCTGCAAAAGTTAGACAAAACTAAAACCATTTATTCAATCAATAAGTCTTCTCCATCATCCATGTTTGAAACAATCATTTAATTAATTTCTTCATCACCAACATCAATCAATTCACTTTTCAATGTACAGTAACTGGGACATCAATAAATGCATAGTTATACTGACAAAAAACAAAATGACATTTTCAAGAATGGGATTCGGCAGGCTTACTATGTTGAGTTTTGCATCATTCTGCCTGCTTTAAATTTAGATATTCGTTTGGGGGCTTCCTCTTGTGTTTGGTGTTTAGCTGAGCTGGCGTCGAGGGTTAATGTATCGGGTTTCTCCAATAACTTTTCCAAAACTACTCCTGTAAAAGCCTGGTGGAAAAAAATTGAAGACCAAAATAGAGAGCAATTTTTAAAAAACCATCAATTAAAATGTAACATCAAAGGAACAAACTCAGGATTTTCTATATCATAGTTAAATGATATGAAAACATCATTCATTATACATCATGATGTACAAACATTTCAAAAATAATTTACAGTAAATCACTGTTTTTTGTGTCTTTTTTTATAAATATATTTTGTATTTATTTACGTTTGAACGAGACTTGATAAAATAATTTTATGTACTTCTTCAATGGATGGCAATTTTATTCCTCAAAAAGATCCATTACTTAGAAATGTTGAAAGTGAAATTCCAAATCTTTCATTAAAACCAGACAAGCCTAACATTGCATATTTTCACCAGTAACTTACATACCTTTTTAGCACCAGCGGATGTAAAACTTTCTTGGTATGAACCAGCGGTACTTGATTTTTTGCCCTCCGGAAGAGGTTTTTCGTTAAGATTGCCATGTAATAACTGCATATCAAATTTTACAGAGGGAGACATTCCATGTTTGTCCACAGACGCACCACATTCTGACGATGAGTCTGTTTCACCTGCGTGCAGGTTTGCATCCACTGAAGTTTTTTTTAGGATAGGTTTTGGTGAAAACAGTTTGTAGATGTCTGCTGGACTTTGAATGCCGGTGGCGCCCTCTGTAAATACTTGATGAGGCTGTAGGGCAATTTGTAAGACTTTGTTTAGTTTTACTGTTAAAATGCTTCAGTTTTTAGGACTCAGTTTGAAAGATTATGTAATCACAGTGTCAATATGAAAGAGCTTATGTCACTGTTTGGATGACTCTTTATTTTTAGTCACAACATTATTCTGCAAACTAAGAGATTTTAAATTTAGAGCAAAACAACAACAAAAAAGGTTAAGTTGTTGGTAAAATTTACATCTGGAGGTAAACCAAACTACTTACTAAAATTGCTGGTGTGGGTGTGTGCGAGAAGGTGATTTTTTTAATCAATGGTCTCTCATCAACCTCTTCATCATCCTCCTCATCATCGCCTTCTTCACTGCTCTGCTCAGAATCAATGTGTTCAACAGGTTTGTAACTCTCCTCTGACCTGATATCTGCCCAGCTAACTCTTTGTTCGGGGGGTTTGCATGAAGTTGATTCATCACCCTCCATCTCATCTTCACTCAATCGGCTGAGGACAGAAATATTTAATTCCTTAATATCCAGATTTTAATTCATACGTAATATATGTGCATTTCATAATACATGTGTATTAATTTATTGGAGGCTGAATAAATATGTTGAATGAGCAACCCATCCAACAGATCCCACCTTGATGACAGGTAGAGCTAATTTGACTTATGCTCGGATGTTACTGTTGACAGGGCCATGTTTACTCACCTATTCAGTTCTCCTCTCTCATTTTCCAGTCTTTCCAATTCATCAAGGCGAGACCACAAATTACCTTCAGAGTTTTGTGCATCACTCACTTCCCTTTTATCTGAACTATTTTGAGACTCTTTGTTGCGTCTGAGTTCTTCTTTATGACGCTTCACATTTTCACGATGTTTTTCTGTGATAATAAAACATGATAACAAATGACAGAAATTTAATTTATGGCCATAACAATAAGAACAATAAATAAAAAGAAATCTTTCAGTAGCAAACAGTTGATCACAATTTTTAATATTTAAAATTAAAAGAAAATTTTCACGTCTCTGCCACCAATCTATAGCTTTTCAGAAGTAATGTCCTTTTATATTTGATCATTCTAAGCCACAATTCGGTTATCTGTTAAACAGGAAATTAGCACTTGTGTAGTTAAAGACTTAAAATAAGGCTTGCTGTTTGAAAAAAAAAAAAAAGAATTCTTTCATTTGTTCACACCACTGACAGAAATACACTTAACAATTACTTTATAATAAAAAAAACAGAGAATTAAAAGCTTATTTTTTTTATTTATTTTCATTAATGAATTTATTACCATCCCATAATTTTTCCTTTTCTTCGTCATATTTTTCAACAATCTCATTGACTCCAGCTGCACCCTGGGGAGGAATAAAGGTGGTGCTACAGAATACAGATACAAGAGAAATCTCAATTATATCTCTGCCAAGAGATCAGCAGCACTATCTTATTTAAAATGAACATATCTTTAAATGCTGATCAGAAATATGTCTTGAACTTCATGCAAACCTTCATGCAATGTTTTATCAACGGAGCTGACGTAATGGACAAAACATTCATCCCTTTGAACATCTTATAGTAATGAGATAATCAGCTGAACCAACCACCACAACAACAACAAACAGTATGATTAATAAACAAGATTTAATCACATCACCGTACCAACAATTCTGCTTGAAGATCAGAAGTGAAATTAAGCCGAGGTTCCAACAGCTTTCTTTGGCTCTCCAAATCGCCGAGTTTATTTTCCAATTCTGGAAATACACATGTAAATGAAAAACATATATAACTGTAATGCGCTTAAGCTTTGATTGATGTAATTTCATATTTGCAGAAAATTCATATTTAATCCCAGATAAATTAAATATTTATTTTTAAAACATCTTCACGGTGAAAATCCCGTTAAAGAAAACATTGGTACAGGCTACCTTTTATTCTTCTATCGGCTATCTCTGCAGCTTGCTTGGCTGACCTCTCAACAAACCAGTTATCTCCAAGTAGAACGAGAATTTCATTTGTGTGGACAATTTTTCCAGGCATAAATGCTAGTTTCCCAAATGGAACCTTAACAACAATAATGTCAATATTGTTATTGGTTGTGATTCAAAATGAGTATAGCTACAAAGATTTAAAAACACCTTTACATACAAGAATTAATTTTGTCTTAGTAAGCTTGTTAGACTCAATGCACCAGGATCATTGTTACAATAATAAAGTAGTTATTAAATTTCAAACATATAAAATACTACTGATGTTGTACTCAATTAAAAAAAAATAAGAGTACAATTAAAATTAATAAACATTTATATATTTAAAAACCTAGACAGTCAAATATAATGTGAAACAATTACCATTATATCATGTGATAGTTTATCAGGAAGTGTCTTCAATCTATCATGAAGAGCCACATAGTCTTTCTTGAACTGTAGGCTGTTATTAAAAATCATATGTACAGAAAAAGTATAGTGTAATCCATATCAACAACACATAGTTGTGATAATCGTGGCATTGAAGCAATTGCTAACTTTTTGAAAGTATACATACTCTTTACCAGATAATTCTGGGCAGTTGATCTTAATTCTTTCTTTGTGATTACCATTTAGTGGTAGCAAAAAAAAATTTATATTTAAAGTAAAGCTAACCACAAGTCTCCTTACAGTTGTTCAAGCTTTGCATCAGTCTCATCGATAGCGATTTGCTGTTCTTCTTTCAATCTGGTCAAGTGCTTAGGGTCCATGGCAGATCTTATGTTATCTTTTTCTTCTGAATGTGTAAAGAAAAACATACTGGTAAATGAAATGATGTTAACTATTAACATGAAATATCCAAATATATTTTCTAGATACAGACATGGGCGCCCGCAGGTAGGGGCAAGGGGGGGCACTTGCCCTTGGATTGATTGGATTAAAAAAATTTAGACAAAAATAGACCAAAAATGTATTAAAGTAAAGAGAAAATAAAGAGAAAGTAACTAAGCTGATGTCCTGTCCGTTCGTTCACCATACAAACACGCTACAGTAAATTAAAACTATATTAAAACATTACTAAAAATTTGTTGCCCCCCCCTCTGGAAAGATAATCGATTTTTTTGCCCCCCCCCCCTTCCCTAGAAAGTTTTCTGCGGGCGCCCATGGATACAGATATGTGCCATAAGAATGAACACAGACATGTTAAAATCATAATCAGAGTAAAATAAAACTATATTAAAAACTTACTAAAAATTTGTTGCCCCCCCCCCTGGAAAGATAATCGATTTTTTTGCCCCCCCCCCCCTCCCTAGAAAGTTTTCTGCGGGCGCCCATGGATACAGATATGTGCCATAAGAATGAACACAGACATGTTAAAATCATAATCAGAGCGTCAGGAATAAAATCAAAAGTTAAAGAAAAGAACAGGGCCATGTTTTTATAAGGACTGGACAAAGCTCAAAATTGTGCACTTAGTTTATTTTGAGTGATTTACTTTATGAATCACCCACCATTTTCTAAGCATGCAAAAATCTACTTTTAGATTGTGTATATCAGTATATATCTTATGTTTATCTTTGCTGTTGTGCTTTTTTAATATCAAATGATATTTCAAAAAGAGCAACTTAGAACATCATATAGTAGGAAGAGAATTCTCACTTTGAGAAAAAAATTTAAAATAGCATTATTTCTCTTTTTTAGATATAGGATGTGGTTCATTTAATTAGCATAACAAAACAACACAATTTAATTTTTTCACTATGAATTAAATCTGCAGCCTTTTATCAGAAAAAGTGGCAGTTCCTTCAGTGACATTTTCAGGGTTGGTACAGTTTTTTGGTTAAACTTGCAATTAACACTTTATATCCCCACAGTGCCTATGGTACAAAAAATAAAACTATGCACATTACTTTTCCCGTGATACAGTGAGAAATAAAGCTATAAATTACCGGTAAAGTTAATATTAATATCTTTTTCAAGATCAATGAAATGTATTTCCTTTCTTTAATTTAAAAAAGGAATCTTCATTGCTACAGCAAGCATAATTAACTTAATGACTTAATAATATTTCTAATTACATGTAAATTGCTATCAAAGTCATCTTCTACTAAGTCATTATATTATACTAATAACAAAAATAACTCGCTATGCGTACCCTGGGCCTTAGGTTTAGACTTAGACTAAAACTAAAGTGAGTCTAAGGGCTGCGACTATTCATGACTATTCGTACCCAGGTCCCAGAAGTGAGAGTTTGGGATTAAAAAACTATTTAAAATATTATTTTTGGGTTTGTAAGACAAAATGAGGTATCAAATGAAAGATAATTGAATGGACTATATGAATGTTTGTAAACTGACTTCTTCAGTTTAACTAAAATAAACTAAAATCCCAGCCTCTCACTTCTGGTGACCGGGTACGAATAGCCACTTCGAAAACTAAATTAAATAATTAAACATTATAATGAATGGACTATATCAATATCATATATGGTCCATTCAATTATCTCTTCATTTGATACCAAATTTTGTCTTGCAAACCTTACAATAATATTTTAAATATTCTTTTAACTTTTAATAAACACTTAAATCTCACTTTTGATAAGTAAAACACTTTTTTAACAGTAAAGTAAAGTAAAGACTAAAAACTAAAAGAGTAAAACTTTAGTAAACTTTTAATAAAGTGTACCTGTAAGTCTGTAAGTGTAAAACTGTAAACTGTAAAGACACCAAAATCAGGCAATTCAACAGAATAGTTATTTTTTGCCGTCCTTATTTTCAAGTTTTCCCTTACCTTGTCTTCCTCATTTCATCATGTACAACTTGGTTACAGTCTACACTCTACACAATTAAGCCTGTTCTGAATCAGTGTGATTACTGTGAGATTATATACTTTTTTTTTTTTTTTTTTTTTAAAAATTTTTCTTTTTTTTTTTTATATTGTTCAATTTTCCTTTTTATTTTTTAAATTTTTTTTTTTTTTTTTTTTTTTTTTTTTTTTTTTTTTTTTTTTTTTTTTTTTTTTTTTTTTTTTTTAAGAATCTGACTTTGTCTTTTTAGAATCGTGCAAATTTCCGTTTAAGTTTTTAAATGATTTTTATTTTACTTCGCATTATTACTAATACAGTTTTTTTTTTTTTTTTTTTTTTTTTTTTTGTATTTTTTTTTTTTTTTTTTTTTTTTTTTTTAAGAATCTGACTTTGTCTTTTTAGAATCGTGCAAATTTCCGTTTAAGTTTTTAAATGATTTTTATTTTACTTCGCATTATTACTAATACAGTGTTAAAATATTAATATCATTTTAGTATTTTATCATTCTAGTATTTACAATTTTCTTAAATTTATTTAACATTTATTATATTTATATACAATTCTATGGCATATGGCTCGAAAAAATCAGCGTAGTTTTTATTTGGCAAGTACAAAATAATTATCTAACTTTGCGAAGTCCGGACATTTCATATTTCAAAGATGGCTTCCAAATCACTGTTTACATGCATCCTGCGACCTTCCCCAATAACTCTGCTTTGTGCTAACAATAACAATCTCGCTTTACTTCCATCAAGGTATTTAAATATATAATGTGTTTTTGGTAAATTCGGAGAGATCAGCCCGCTGTTAGCATATTACAGATTTAATATTTTAGTTCAAAATGAAACAAAAAATGACCAAAATAAATATCTTTATAATTATTTTTACTTACTAATTTTATATATTTACTTTAATTTTTAAATTTATTTACGCCGGCGATACTTGATTGTAGACGTTTATTGTAATACTAGTGACTTATGGAGATATCAGATTAGTGATGGGTAGGGTGAGACGCACCAAATGCTAATGCACATTATGAAATCTCAACAACAACCATTTAAATTTAACGAAGTGTCTACACGTCCGGCGCGCCGGACAAATGGTGCACAAGATATACGTCTGACGGTATGTCACGTGACCGCCGGACGGCTAGTAGTTTTTATAATTCCGATCGAATCATTTAGGCAGATCTTGCTTGGTCTAGTCGTAGAGTGGTCGCTTGACGATATTATGATTTGAGGATCAATACCGTGGATAGGATCGTTTTTTTTTTCTCCCATTTGAATGTAAAATATTTTATACTATATTTATATTATCATGTTCATCAGCAGCAGTAGTTTCATGAGTCATGAGAGGTTTTTAAATATTTTGTAACAATTTAAAATGAAACCTTTACTTTTATTGGTTACCTACTCCACACTGGCCCCTAATTTATTTTATGGATTACTGGTGCACAAACTCAAATAACAAACTAAACAAAAATGTTTACAAGCCACTTTCACTTAAGTTTTTTTCTATTATTTGCATGCAAGATACTCAGTACATTACTTGGTAGAGAAATAGATTTTAAAATTAACAATAGTTTTGAATTATTCGCAGTCATGTGACAAGGCTGACCAACAAGATATCTCTCGCCACTTTGTTACGGCGGTCATGTGACTTGGTCGCCAGACAAATATTGCGGGAGATAGACGTCGCGCCGGACGTGTAGACACTGCCTAAATTTAAATCAATCCAATTTTAGAGTACAGAGACTTTTCTTTCAAAGTGCGACATTTGCTGCCATGATTTTGATCAAATGAAAATTTCCATCCTCCATATTGTAAAAAAAAAAAAAATAGTATTAATTTTCTGTCTACAACAATCATCTAAAGTTTGATTTAAAATTATTTCATTTATTATCAATGGCAAATTTAATCGACGCCGGCCAAGGTAATTACTGGTATTCAGTTCATTTAGTTTGCAATATGGATGTCTCACGAGCGCTGTGGTGGAATAGTGGGGTCTGTGCTCTGCCTTTTTATGTCGTTACCTTTGTAACAGATTGATACATGTTAAAATGTGTATATTAATAGATTTATTTATTCAACGAAAATCATTCACAAATGATGAATGCTTTTCTTACTCATCTGTAATTTAATGTAATTTTCCACCCTGACTAATTAATGACTTTTTAAAAAAATAATGTCTTGAGTTCTTATTTATTTTTATTAACTAGTTATGCTTGTGTGCAACAAGTTCGGCACAGACGATTTCCAAAGTTTGTTGTGCGCCCTACTACCCGAAAGGTTTGGCATGTCAGGAAATGGACCCAGAAACATGATGATAAGCTCATTACTAGCAATGAACAGTTCATACAAGATATTGTGGTACAAAACTATGCAAATAAATCTGAAAGCCCTCTTAAAGATGCTCCTTGGAATAGAAATCCTTATATTAAGGGGTAAACAATTTTTTTTTATAATTCTTTATACTGCAGCATAGATTTAGTACCGGGTAACATTTAATTTTTTTAATTCTTGGGGGGAAAGCAAATTAACATTATTGTTATTATTTTATTTGTCAATAAATTGAAAGCACTTATTGTAAACTAATATGGCGGCAAAATAATTGCTAAAATGACTGTTGTAAAATTTATTTAGAACGAGAAGGACTGGAGTTTTGGCACTAAAGCTTGGGACAATGGTACAATGGACCAAAGATGGAAAGGGTATTAATGTTACATTACTGCAGGTAATTTTAAAGTCTATCTTCTTACACATTTAATTTGTGTAAAAAAATTTTTTTTTTTTTGTGTTAGTATTTCCAATCTATTCTGTTTTTTATTTTTTAGATTTAATTTATTGCTGGATAAAACACGGTATTTAATTTGTTTAGTTAACCTCATTGGCTCATCTTTTTCTATAGTCTTATAACCTCACTGACTCATCTTTTTCTCTAGTCTTAATTACTAAATCACTTAAAGAAATGACTCTCTGCTACCTGACAACTTTTTGTGATCCATTTGTATCTGACAGGTATTGGACAACCATGTCATAAATTACGTTCCCCCTGAACTGTACAAATTCTACCCCAGCCACCTGCCGCACCATAGTGATAGATTTGGTTTACAGGTCGTTGGTGCTTTAAGTTGTGATCCTAGACAGGTAAAGCTAACATTTCTGGACGAATTAAAATAATTTTCTTTTAAATCCTGTGTTTTGACAACGTCTTCTGATAAATGCATTTTCACCATTTAAGAATTGTGAAAAATTTGGAGACAAATTATAAGTACCGGTAGTTAAACTTATGCCTTGTGTGCAAACTGCATAGCAAATGGGATCATCAACATGAAAGTATTGTAATTCTTTGGGAAATGCTGCTCATTTTTTTTGAATTTTCAGGAGCTGTGCTTTTACAAAGAGGACTTTTCTTTTTTTTTTCAATATTTTTTTTTTTCCTTCTCTAGTTTTCTAAACCCTACAACAATCTTTTTGTAAAAGCTGGCGTACCTCCAAAACGGTGGTTAACCAGGTTTTTGGTCACCCCAGACGCTGCCGTACAGCCAGGTATGCTCACATTTCTGTCTCCTAAAATAATTATGGAGAGACTTTTGATGTATTTATGCCGGAAATTTTTTCAAAAGAAATTTGTTGCCAGATATTTTTGATGAGACTTAGATTTTAGATCTATCCATTGCCCTTTAAATAGCAATAGATTTTTTAAAAAAGGAGATTAAATAAGCAATGTTTAATATTTAAAATAAACTATATATTTCATTTGTTTAAACTTTTCATTTGTTCAACTTGTCATTTGTTCAAGCGTGTCATTTTTTAAAACTTGTCATTTGTTGAAACATGTCATTTGTTTAAACTTGTAATTTGTTGAAACTTGTCATTTGCAAAATGGTTTAAGCATTTACACCCACCTAAAATAACTAAAATACATGCTTTAAAAAAAAAAAATGCTTTATAGGTGGATTATTTCACAGAAAACAAGAGATGTCCCCTTGTGCACTGTATTTTTTCTTCCTTCATTTCCAGGCACTCCTCTTTGCGTTAACCATTTTAGAGTAGGTGATTATGTTGATGTCCAAGGCAGGACGTGAGTAGAACTTAATTTTTGAAATTAGGGGACACATAGTTAATAGCATAAACCAGAGCATGACAAATTTTGTGTTTCTCTTCTCTTAGACAGCATAAGCTCAACAAGAAAGAGTTATAGATGATGATTTATTGTGTTAGCTACTAATTTGCCATCCCAAACAAAAACATGTAATGAGCTCATTTCTATTAATAAACTAACCTTATTTTTTAAAACTCTTTGATTACATATTTATCATATTTTAACAATATATTTGTTTCACAAATAAGCTCTGAGCGCAGTTTTGATTAAACTAAACTTCCAAATGATGAACACTCATAAGTGGCTTGATTATTTTTCTCTTAAAGGCGAGACTGGGGCTTCCAGGGTGTCATCAAGAGGTGGCACATGAAGGGTATGCCTGCATCTCATGGTGTCACCAAATCTCATAGGAAAATGGGCTCAACTGGTGGCGGGGGTGTAAGTTCTTATTAATCTAAATTAAACATTTATTTTACTGGAACACTGATAACAAAAATTTCAAATGTGGCGACTTTTTTAAAAGCGATTGATTATTTTGATGACTAACATTTTCCAACAGAGTTTTTCTCTAGACCGCATTTCATAGAAAAAAATTAGTTAGTAGTGTTCTAAATAATGGAAGATAACTAAAACTATTATTTGAAAACTGTTATTCTTGTATCAATGGGATGGGAAAAAATATGAAAGGCGAATAGAAATAAAAGACGAACTATGAATTATAGTTTTAACAGTAATGGAAGAAACTATTGTACCGGGTAGTTAATAAACTCTGACTTCCTCTAAAATGCTAGTACCGGTATCCTTGATCCCTTCCATTATACTTAATGAAATAATTGATTCCAAAAAAAACATCATAATTGAAAATTTTGTTTTATGTGTAGTAGAAAGGTTTGTATTAAATGACAAGTAGGATCAAATTAAATATTTTAACATAAACGGAGCAAAATAGATCCTTAATTTCATGAAGCTGAATCATTTGCACTCAGTTAAAAGCACTGACCATTGATGAATATTTCTGAGTACTGTTTTAAGGCTGTATGCACAAGTAACAATCCTTTGTTGTAAATTGCCATTCATGGAAATGGACACATAGTTTTTATTTTAATGTACGTTAGATCTAGTAGAAAATCTATCACAAAAACTTTTTTTTTTTACATGATTCTAATGTATTAAAAAGTAAAATAACTTATCGATTTGCGGCTGGGGATATTTTTAAATAAGTTACAGTTTGTAGTTCTGTGTGAAAAAGATGTCCACTGCATAGTTAGAGGGTCACTATATAGTTAGATGGCCATGACATAGTGAGATGTCCACTGCTTAGATGGCCATGACATAGTTAGATGGCCACTGCATAGTTCATAAAGATATAATTTTGAGCTAATAATAACTTTTTAAAAATCTCTAACCTTGCAGGACAAAGACGGCATCTGGAAAGGAAAACACATGCCAGGCATGATGGGTAACAGATTCAGTACGCTATTTGGTGTGAAGGTAAATTTACTAACTTAAGTATGTCAAAAAAGTTCATTATGTGTTTTATTACAGTTAATGGATGTTAATTGCTGTAAAATAAGGGTCCACATTGCCTTATGGTCCTTTTAAATTAATCAGTTAATGATGGTTTATTCATCTCTCCAACTGCTTCCTTCACCTTGTAAGGTGTATTACAACCACAGAGAAACATTTTTCTGACTTCATTTTATTAAATAAATCTCATACATTTTACACCAGCAGGAAAACTTTTAAACAAAAATATTTGTCCACCATTTTAGATTTTAAATATTTTAACAAAACTGTTTCAGATTTGGAGAATCAACACAAAATACAACATCTTGTATGTGAGAGGCCGGTCGATAGCTGGTGCTCCTCACACGTTTGTCCGTGTATCAGATACAGTTCTACCTACAAAAAGAATCAAGGCCGAAAATGCTGAAAATGTGCCCATGCCGACTTGGTTCCCAGAAGATGAGACGGAGCCGATCCCCGAGGAATTATTTGACGAGGAGATGTTTCAGTTTACCAGTCCATCGGTAGAGTTGGAGGCTGAGTCCTAGCGGTTTTATTAGGCTTGGTATTTTGTTGCTGCTTGAAGGACCTGTTCTTTGATTGACAGTTATGTCCCCTTGTTCTTCTAGCTGGCTGATACTACTAATAGTAATAGTTTTCCTGAATAATTGTCACATTGTATAATTTTGGAAAAAATTTTATTTTATATATATATATATATATATATTACAGAGCATTTAATTCATAGACAACTTAAATTTGTGCCTAAGTTTCAATTCCAGGTGTATTCCACTCAATAAAAATGTGCTGTTCGGACAAAATATTAGTTGAATTGATTCAAAACCATTTGCTCTATATGTAACAGTGTATAAATGGTTTTGGACCAATTAAACTACCCGTAATATTTTGTTAAAAAAATCATGTTTCAAAACTTTATTGTGTAGGCTGATGTTGGACAAATGACCGCTGTCAATCTCATGAAACGGTTGACTGCATGCAGCAAATTGGTTTGTGGACAATTATTTCTCCAATTTGTGAACGTTTTTGTTTAATGTAGCTCTGAGGAGAGTAGGTGAAGAGTGACCTGATGATGCTGGGTGAATGACCAATTTGACCGTGTTTATGAAACTGTTTCTGCTGAATGAGGTTTATTACATGGCTTATGATATAAAAATTATTTTTTTTAAAAATGATTTTCCTTTTAACAAATCTTTTTTTTTGTTGTATATTTGTACGCTTGTGCCGCACTGTCAAGTAGACTGTTGTTGTTTATTGTTAGTTACGATAGCTGTTGGTTACAGTCTGGAAAAGTGTTTATTTTACAGTGTGATGGACTGAAAAGCTCATATGGTGTGGATACAATAGCTTAACTTGCAGCACATGTAACCAATAAATGTTGTGAGGCTGATTTCAAAATGAACTTAATTCATAGTTTCGTCCAGCTACGTGAGTTTAGCTGCTTGGACTAAATTAAGGATATAAGTATATCCATACATGAATGAAACAAGAGTTAGCTCACTAAGCTTAGTGGTAAAGAATAATGAATGATAAAGTTAGCAGTTGGGTGTCAAAAAAGTTCCTACATTTCCTCCTACTTCTACTACTTCTATGTGCAACTAACTCTTGGTACCTTTTACAGGGAGTTTGAATTTTGAGTTGTCTCCCTGGAACTGAGGAGCTTCTGGTTTTGCTAAATCACACAGCAAATGGCAAATTTTGTTTTTACAGAATAATTGGCCTTCCCTAATTTCTAGATTAATGATTGTTAGCTCAAAGCTGCTGAGTTCTTCCAGCAAACATACCTTATAATCATTTTTATATATTTCTTTTATATAATAAATATCCACATTTTAGTGGGTTTTTTAAAAATTGTATTCACTGATAATACTGATAACTGATAAAGAAATTTGCTGATAGGAAATGATTAACTTCTAATGTGTGTGGTTAGGGGTTCAATTTCCCCTCCATGACAGAAGTGCTAAATATGTTTCGGGGGGGGGGGGGGGGGTGTGGGTGGTTGTTTGACATTGTCAATTATAATAATGGTAAATGAAGTGTAGGGGTGCATTCATACTCAACTGTTCAATCTCATTTTTGAAAAACTTGCTGCTCCCAGAGCAGTGGATTAAAGAGTAAATAATGTTTTTAAAATGGAGGTTAGCTGTAACTGAAGTTACATCAGCTTTTATCTTGAATGGGGAAACGTTTCCTTGATGTAAGCCCGCCTTAGATCTGTGTCTTACAACATATCGAGGCTATCAGCTGTAAATTTAGAATAAAACACTTAAACTGTGGAAGCGCCTGTAAATTCTTGGTGCTGCCAAAAACACGTCAATGTCTTATCTCCGTTTGATATGTTACTCATTTGTTTTAGAAAACGTTTCTTTAAAACTCAGCTCAGACTGAAATAATTAAGTCAGTGAAGGCTATTTTGACATTTTTCGTTGAAACAACAATAATCTTTTTATAGATGTTCAGCATGCCTTCTAAATGTGAAGCTGTACCAGTGTTTGTTGTACCGTACTTGACTAGTCAAACCAGTGTTTGTTATACCGTACTTGACTAAAACCAGTGTTTGTTGTACCGTACTTGACTAGTCAAACCAGTGTTTGTTATACCGTACTTGACTAAAACCAGTGTTTGTTGTTCCGTACTTGACTAGTCAAACCAGTGTTTGTTGTACCATACTTGACTAGTCAAACCAGTGTTTGTTGTACGGTACTTCACTAGTCAAACCAGTGTGTTCCTTGTACTTCACTAGTCAAACCAGTGTGTTCCTTGTACTTGACTAGTCAAACCAGTGTGTTCCTTGTACTTGACTAGTCAAACCAGTGTGTTCCTTGTACTTGACTAGTCAAACCAGTGTTTGTTGTACCGTACTTCACTAGTCAAACCAGTGTTTGTTGTACCTACTTCATTAGTCAAACAAGTGTGTTCATATTCCAGTATTTCAACTATGTAGCTTATAAAATTTCAACCAAATGTATTGTCCCATAGTTCACACTTTCCATTGCTCCAGGATTTCTGCACTGCGCTGTACTGTTACTTTGATAACATGATTTATTTGACCTGAACTTGTCCTGTTGACATAGTTGTGTTCAGGGAAGTACTGCATGGAGCCTGCATTACCGCCCGTAAAGTTGGGCAACTGATAAGACTAAAGAGCAGCCGTATTAACAAAACAACAACTATGACTTCATGTGACATAAGCCAAATCAGGCCAAAGGGAGGAAATCGGGGGGGGGGGGGGGGGGGGTGCGGAGAAATGTTGCCTCGGTAGCCTGACCTTGGCACAATCGGTGGAGCTAGCTTTACACTGCTACTACTATTTATGATGTTAATTACCTGTTTCTCAACGTGAGGGTACACGTCCCACAGGGGGGCAATTTCATTGTTTAGGGGGGCAATTCGAAAAAATGAGCTGTCTAGAATTTGGAGACCAACCGTCTACTATGATTTAACTTGTATTTTAAAAGGAGAATCGTTCTAAGTCTCAAGTTAAAATAAGCGCTCGTTAATAGTGTTGTAAAAATCATGAAAGTTTCTTCAGTGAACAACCCAATGTGAACAAAACCCTATGTTAGAACATTAAAAATCTTGTATATGATACATGGGTGGTTGGGGGGGGGGGGCATAAGAATTTTAGAAAGCCTTGGGTGGGGTATGGCGCAAAAAAAAGGTTGGGAAACAATGGTAAATCTAAAACCGGTGTGCCGCGACAAGATGCTAGGTGTCCAGAAATTCCTCCATCCAAGAGTATGCATGACTGGTGGAGACTATTTCAAAATGTGTTGAACCAAAAGGGACAGTGGCTGGGTGCCGCCCGTAACACGCTGTCAAAATGTTGGCTGTGAAACAGCGGGGGGGCAGCTGTATGCGGGTGGGCTACCAAGATTTCCCAAGATCATGAAAATATATAAAGAGTTGGGTTTTTTTTTTTTAAATCTTGGGAATTTTTGTAAAAAATTAGTTTTTGTCCTGAATGGGGTAGTGAATTCCCCAAGATCTTGGGAAAATCCCCAAGGTGTGGCATCCCTGTTAAGCGGGTGATGTGACAAAGTCGAACATCTCGGTGTGTCTCAGCGGCCATGGGCAAAACAAGAGTCGGTTACTTTGTGTCCCTCCATCGAATGCTTTTCACGCCTGCGGTGGCCTGGTTGTCCCTCCATCGAATGCTTTTCACGTCTGCGGTGGCCTGGTTGTCCCTCCATCGAATGCTTTTCACGCCTGCGGTGGCCTGGTTGTCCCTCCATCGAATGCTTTTCACGCCTGCGGTGGCCTGAGTCTGTGGGCTGCCACTGCCAGTTGGAATATATTTTATCACCGATAAATTGAAACAAACACAGCAAAAGTGTCATAAACTAAGCCCCGCCCATCATGTCGAGACAGAGGTCAAACACAATATTTTATCCCACATGTTGACACATTCAAACGCGTGTTGAGCGTGCCGCATGACTATATATATATATATATCCCCACCTCCCATACACACACACAAACACCGATTGAAATAAAGTATACACACGAATGGCATCATTTAAGTAATGGTCCCAACAAACAGTAAGTTCGTGGTCCCTGCTTTTATTTGTATCGAACGACTATTTTCATTGTGTTTTTTGAATAGGAAGTTTTTTAATGAATGCTAAAATGACCAGTTTAAACATGGTGGCACGACCCAGTTGTGAAGAGAACATGATAAACGTGAAATGTGGCATTTTTTACAAAAAATCTTCCTTATAATATTTTTATTTCTATTTCTGCTCTAACTCTATCGATATACAAGCGTAAAAAATGTAAACTATTTCATGTTATATGACTTGGTAAACAAAATTGACCGGTTCGTGTTGATTTCACGTCTGTTAGAAAAATAAAAGAATTTAAACATTGGTACATGCAGGGCCGTGTAGGGGAAAATCGGCGCCCGTGGTGAAGCCTGAAAATAGCGCCCACCAATATAAAGAAACAAGTGCCGCCCGGGGCGGGCGTGTAAATACCGATTTCGGCGCCCCTTGTTTCTGTAAAGTACATGACATTCTAGCATTTAATAAACTTTTAAGCTCCTATCTAAAGAAGACAATTTTTGCGACCCCCCGCCCCCCTGATGTTAGCACCCGGGGTGGTTAACCCATTCATTCCATCCCCATTCGCACGGCCCTGGATACATGTAAACAACAGTGGACCAGTTTTTCCCCCATGTTTTAATTGTAGTGTGCTCGAACATCTGAGAAGGGTCTGGATGTGCCATGAGGGACAAAAATTTGCGGAGCGCAGTACGCTACGACCACAGTTACGCTATACCTACCAAACCACCATTGTTACAACATGCCACAATTGTTATTCATTGTTGCACTAGACTATACCAGTGGTCGGAAAATCGTGGCTTGCGAGCCAGTCGGCCACAAATCGGTTTCAACTCCAAAAAACATGGTTCGTGATAGGTTCTTGAAAAGAAATTCGGCTCTCGAAATTTTTTTTAATCGTCCTGCTGTTGATTTTTTTTCTCTCTTGACCAATGAGTTTGCCGACCATAGACTAATGAGTTTGCGACCACTGCACTATACCTACCTAAGCACATAAACATACCACCATTGCTCACTGTATCACAATTTCCCCATAGACATAAAACTGAAGAGCAATCTCCCCCCCCCCCCCCCCCAAGTATGTAAACAAGTCATGCCTAATCCACAAGTCACCATAAAATATGTAACATCTGTAATAACATCTGTCACCACATCTGTCATAACATCTGTCACAATTTCTATTTGATGAGATTAAATCTTGTCGGCTTTTTTGGTCTTATTGTTTATCATTTATTTATTTTCGTCATTTAAATGAAAGTTAATTTTTCTCAACTTTAATGTCATTTCAAACGACGGCCAGTACATTCAGTCAAAAAAAATGTCCACATAAAGATCATAGAGGGGTAATTCATGCAGGCAAGTCCTGATGTAAATACATTGTTACCTCCCATTAGATTAAGACTTTACAACAAATAATATCGAGTCTTAACTGTAACAGATTGATTTATATTTTCCCTTATTGACTTTGAGTGGAATACTTGCATTGTCCAGTAGAATAAGCAAACAATTATTTATCATAGCTTTTTCTGTTATTTTAAAGTTAGGTCAACCATTCAACTATAATAATGTCATCTCAATATGTATAACATAAGTAATAATAATAAATGAAATGACTAAGTCATTTGACGATCACCTGTCAGTACATAAGTACTATATCAACTAAGTCATTT